ATACAAAATATACAAATAAATTTAAAGAAAAGAGTATTCAACAGTTGTGTTGTACCAGTTATGACCTATGGGATGGAGACCGTGACATAAAGTTATCAGTCAATAGATTAAGAACAACACAGATGACTGTCGAACGAACTAATATAGTAATTTCTCTGAGAGCACATATACGAAATGAGGACGTGCGAAAAGGATGAAGATAGACGATGTAATTGGAAGAATTTCGCAAATTAAATAGAGTTGAATAGGACTCGTGGCACGACACAAAAATGAAATATGGATGAGAAACATTGTACATTAGAGACCACGCAAGCACAGTCGTAGTGTATACAGTGGTATACAGCATATACAGTAGTATATGCAGTGGCTATACTACATCAAAACAATAGTGGGGTGAAACTGGGTAAGGGAAGAGGCCTTTGGCCAGGAGTGATTGAAAACAACCTGAAGAAGAAGATACCAGTACTTATGCTTATATTAGGCTGTAGATATACCAGCAAAAATAAAAAGACTGAAGCTGCAATGAGAAGAACAAGTGAACGAATGCATTAAAATAATCATATAAGAAACTTATGAAAGATATGAAAGAATGAAGAAAAAACTTCTTGGCTTTCTTAAAAAGTGGGCGTTTACAGTTCTTACAATAATATTTTACCAGCCTACGTTCTTGAAAGAGAAGATCTAAAAAGATTTTTTGTATGATACGTTCAGTTGTTATCTTTCGTCAAGATCTCGTGGGTAATCCATAAGTTTACTCATAATTTACTGCTCACTAATAGCTTTTTTCTTGTTCACTTTAAAATATCCAATCCATGAAGGAAAATTTTCCTAAGGTTTTTCCTAACATCAATATCTATTTCTCCAGTGGCGCTACAGCCCAAATCGAATCTTTTTCCACCTCCAAACTATGAGTCCAACCTTGCTACTTCGTTTTCGTCAATAGGTCCAAATATCTTCCTTAGAACTTTTCTTTCGAAGACTTCTAGCTTTCTTTTTGTGTCTTTTAAGTTTGTGTCTTTGTATATATTAAGTTGCAAGATAAAGACGTTTTCTGCATGAAAAAGAAAAGGCATGAGAATATAAAGGAACACATAATACTTTAAATATCTGTTGGTATCATGTCCACTAAGGTTCTTTTCAGCAGCAAGAGAAAGCTAATTACTAACTTTCAAGACTCTAAGGCGATCCTCATAAGAAGAAGAAAAGCATGAAAATATAAGAAAATATATAGGAAGAAGACCTAACGTTTTTACCAATGAATATAAAGTGAAAAAGAATAGACTGTTCTTTTCTTTCTTAGAGTGTCGTCTCCTTACGGAGGTTGTCAATTGAGCCGTTGAAAACCAGAGTGGTCTAAGTCAGAAATGTTGAAATTCGAGAAACAACGACTTAAAGTTAACATGTTGGCGTTAAATGGGAACATAAAAACTGACTTTGATCAGAATGATTTTCAATAAAAAAAGCTTAAACTTAAGTAATTCCAGCGGAATAATCAGCCAGCAGTCGAAATTTTTATATTTTTTGTTAATATTTTGACTTAGACCACTCTGGCTTTCAATAGGTTCATTATTTTGGAGTAAAGCAAAAAAGTTAGACTTACAAACGATCGTGTATGTTTGTGTATTATATTATTACAAATTAAATTTTTATTCATAAAAAACATCGTCGTCTCCATTCGCCACCAAAATATCTTCCAGTGGACCTACTTCTGCAGTGTTGTTTCCATTTACGGATAAATTTTTGAAAAAGTCGTGATGAATGGGCAGTATAAAACGCCAAAAGATATTCCATATCCTTTTTTTTCTTAATCGTAACTGGTATTGGAGCTTCATACAGTTTTGAAAATTCAATATTTTGAAAATTGGCGATACGTCCTTTTCGTACCGGTTGCAAGTGACAAAAGGAAACTCCTAATGGAAACATCTAATGATTCTTTATAAAATATTTTATAGGGATCACTCTTTCTAAATTGTAGCCATTGAATTTTAAGCCACGATACTGGCGCGTTATCTTCATTTTTCTTTCTTCTGGTAACAGCTGCTTCCAGGTTTTGTGACGATACAAAATTATTTCCGTTCATCTTGCAAACACGATACGGTTTCTTTGTGCGGCACTTCTCAAACACACTGTACCAGTCGTCCGGCACATACTTCACTCTATTCTTTGCGTATTGTTCGATTACACCAAAATCACGATCATTGGGAGAAAGGAATGTCCGGATACCATAAACTTATGGTCTACCATTTCCAAATTATCGGAATCTGCAATGAGTTTCAACCAAAACAAACACTGTTTAAAGTTCCTATTCTGCCCCCCACAGGCATCACTAAATGCAATGATGTGTCTTGGGTCCTTTGCATTTTCTAGAACATGCTTTCGAATACAAGATCCTATTTCTTGCGCTCCTCGAGAGGCTATAGTTTCATCCCAGGCATACAGGAACACCTTGTCTTAGTCGCTAAACTCGTGAATACCCAAATTGTACACATACATGTTTCTTTTATAGTAGGCTACAGAGCAAGTCAAAGTTGGTAACGGTAAGGCCTTTTATAAATCAAACGTGAATGCACACACTCTCCCTTTTTCACGTATGCTTGTAATTTTAGCGTCTTTCAAAGCAGCTCTGGCCTTTTCACTGCGCCGTAAATGCAGCTCGTGTTGTGATTGAAGCACTTTCTTCGTATTCTCGTCCTTTTCCTGGGTCACCTGATTTTTGTATTTGTCATACTTAACACATGTATCTTTTAATGGTACGTGAAAGTGAAGATTGAAATCGCGATGGAAAATTTGTCTGTATAAACTTTCTGACACAGGATCTTCTACACATTTCTCTTTGTACAGGGTATACATTGTACGTACATTGAGTTCTGGATCTAAAAACTTTCTATTAGGATTATGAGCTCGTGTATAATGAGATTCATAAGAAGGAAAGCTGTTTATGTGATCGCGTACTAACTGTAAATTTCCTTCAGCAGTTTTATTGCTAGGTGCGTGTTTGCCCCGTAAATCTTCACCAGAAAATGATATCTCCCCCTTTTTTAATGCACGCATTAACCTACCATTACTTATTGCAAAGGTTTCCAAAAAGTACATTTTGCACACTTTATGAGACTCTTTCGGGGTATTTAGGACATAAGTGTAGGATACTGCTTTTTTTCTGCCTTGTACCATTTCTTGGACGGTGAGTGGCTGGTTTAGACAATTTTACAATACCAACTAGAAAAGCATTTTGTGCTGAAAAATTAGCTATGTTCCAGAAATTTGTAAAGATAGCTTTCCTTTCTTCCTGAGAAATTTTTTGAATGCATTTGCCCTTGCACGTACACTCCCTGTTATGAAACTCTTTCGCTTTTACCACCTTATTAGATGTAGACACATATTGTTCCCCACAGTTTCTTTTTTCTTTTCGAACATTCTTGATGTGTTTACTTGGCTCTCTATTTCGTTTTCTGCCGACGTGCTTGGTAGTTGATCCCAATTTTAACTTCGAACGTTCGTCAACTGAAACAAACGTGCAAATAAAATACTGCTATTCACACATTTGAGGTTATGAAAGGAAATAACAAAATAAACTTACCTCTATCAGAATCAGATTCTGTTGAATCGTCATTGTTTTCTGGCTTGTACTCGCCCAATTTTAACTTCGAACGTTTGTCAGCTGAAACAAACGTGCAAATAAAATACTGCTATTCACACATTTGAGGTTATAAAAGGAAATAAAAAAATAAACTTACCGCTATCAGAATCAGATTCTGTTGAATTGTCATTGTTTTCTGGCTCGTACTCGCTATCACTAGCACTAAACAGTTCATTTATAGATTCACTAGAACTCATTTTACTACAAGCAAACGTGACACTTATAAAAAATTCGTGACAGAATTTCTGGCAGAATGGTCCAAGTCAGACTTAGACCATTTTGCCTTAAAACGGCAACCTTCATGGCATTTGACATATATTACAGTAGTGTCATCTGTGAGTGAACGGATGCACTAATATTTCTCAAATTTTGTAGCAAAATAGAACACTGTTAAACATAATTATATACCGAGAAAACGCGAAACATGAAATTCTTGACTTAGACCACTCTGGTTTTCAACGGCTCAATTATAATGGTTATTTTTATTTTTGAACTTGCTGCTCTAAATAAATCAATCGATCTTCATTGGTACCAATCACGTAGATTCTTCAACCATGAGTTCTGGCTTTGGCCAACAGATCTTTTTCCTTGAATTTTTCCCTGTATTATGAGTCTCAAAATTTCATATTTTGGTCCCCATATTCCAGTTTTCTTAATTGAATAGTGGTGATTAGTTCTGTTCCTTTACCAACCCTCTCCAGTACTTCTTTATTTGTAATTCTATCAGTCCATCATATTTTTAATACTCTGCTTTATAACCAGAGTTCGAAAGCCTCGATTATTTTTAAATTGCATTTTTTTAATGTCTATGTCTTAGATCCATATAAAAATATTGAAAATATATAACAGCGAATGGTACGTAGTCTGATCTCCAAATTTAGATTTTTGCACGTTAGGAGTGGCTTCATTCGCCTTAATTCGGCGAATCAAAGTTCCCAAGTACTGATATATTTCTACTTGTTCTATCACGTTACCATTGATTGTCAATAGGTGATGTATATTTTGTGGTCTTTTTGTAATTTTTATTGTGGTATTTGGAATATCTACATTTGACCACTTTTTGATGAAAGGATCCCTGAAGTCTTGATGGATTGTTACATTCTTCACATACCAAATCGTGTTTGTTATCATGCCTAATATTTTTTATTGGCTGCTTTAAATTATGGTACTGTTGGATTTGCTTGTATATCTCAAATCTGATTTCAAATGCATTAGTGTTATAATTAATAAATTGTTTTTCTACTATCCAGTAGAGTTCTCGGTACTTCTATGTCGATATGTGTCTTTGTGTTTTTGGATATGTGTACAAATCCAAGCAAAGGTAAGGAACTAATATTAGGTATTATTAAACATGTACAAATATTTTTATTATTTATTTAAGTTATATTTTATAGATAACAAATTAACAAAGTATAATAAAATATGGTAGGTATACATTTATTTCTTTATTTACAAGTCTTAAAATTACCCAAACAAAAAATGTGTATTTATAAATAGAGATAAAGAGACCGATAATTCAAGAACAAATATTTTTTCATAATTTTTAGATGTTTTATTGAATGGCAAAGTAATGATTTTTTCTTACTTGATATTTTTTTATACACAGTTATAACCTATTACTATAGTTTATTAAAAAGATAGTAAAATATTTATTATTACTAACATATTAGTGTTTCTAAATGTACCAGGAAAACGAATAAAAATACTTAGTGAATGAGAATATTGCTCACTACAAACTGTAGGTAGACGAAACATGGATACTAGAAGTAATCACTATGAGAAGACTGGACTCAGAAATGTAGGTAATCCAAAGAATGCTGAAGATATCGAAATAATACAAAATAGCCTAGCGGAATACATAGCCTTCTATGTCTTATAATGCAGGTAAAGATTTAACAAATATTAGAAATAATTTGCCTTAATATTCTAAAATCTTCAGAAATGAGAAAGTCATCTAAATAAAACGAAATCTGTGTTGGTAATGACAACACATGAAACTAGTATATAGAGGAAAGTCGCCTAATATGGGGATAGTTCCTAATATTATTGGGTAGATCGCTTTCACGCAAGTACGATTCCGACATCTATCCTACGCATTGCTTACTAACCACCACTTTGCCAGGAGGTAACCATTCTCTCTTTTTGCGCAAACGTATTCTCTTATTTGACGTTTGAGATTGTGGTAAAGAAAGTTTTTTGGTCGTGCTGCATTTTGGGTGCTTAAGGAGTTTTGTTACTGAAACTTGAGTTTTAAAGTTTTGTATTCACTGCATTCGACACATAAAACGCAGTCATTAGACATGACATTTATGTCTTCGTTCAAAACTTATAATACGCAGTAGATCACAAACTGGCTTAGGCTTAATTCAGGACGTGTTGTCCGGACAAGTTCAGAACAAGTTATCAAGTAGGGGAACTTTTTGGAAACGCTTATATAAAAGCAGTAACCATTGATACAACAATTAATGGGTTTAAGGAAACTGTTATGTTTCCCCCAACAGAAACGTATTCGAAAAATGGAATTTTGTCACAGAAATGCAAGAAACAGTTGAAGAAAGTGTAGAAGAACAAACAGTTAATGAAGAAGCAGTTAAAGAGGAAACGGTTAATGACGAAATAATAGAAGGAGAATGAGTAGAGAAAAAGCAATTTTATAAGAATGTACCAGAAGAAAAAAACCCTAAAAAACAGGTTACTTCTGCAGATTTGATGCTTATTCCAACAGTTTCTAAAAGTATCCTAAAAAAAAGTACTTTCATACTTTATTTTCATTTTCATAATTTATATAATTAGCAATAATTTTAGTGCTTTTTAATTGGAAATACTGTGTGAACGAAAATTTTCACACTTTTTTCATATGTTTGTTATACTTATGTTGTTATCAACGTATAGCGTAGGAACTTAACATATAAGATTTGGCATGTATTCAATAACATACTTCCAAATGGGACAAACAAGGATATCTTTTATATCAGAAACACTGCTACATTACCTCCTTAAGGGTTTCCTGAACAAGATTTCACTTAATTCACCGATTTATTCGTGCCGGTTTTAATTTGGGTGAGTTTTATCGTTCAGTTTCGAACAATAAAATACGCTCTCATCTTTGAAAGAATCATTCACTACACTACTGCTAGCAGGTGATCAAACGATACATGTAAAAGCAGTGTTGTCCTATCGCATAGAATTTACATAATTTTAATAATTTGTTCATTTTCTTTTTCTTATCTAAGTTAGCACTGCATCTGTACTGATGCACCTTCAAAAGACTTGACCTTCCCAAGCTTCCTGTAGTATCCTTTTCTGATTAATATCGCCATTTCCCTTATCTTGCGTCACTAGTTGAATAGTTGTGATTAGTTTTATCATGTTGGATGGTAGTACCTGGACTACATGTCCTATCTATTGTAAACGGAATTGTTTCATTATCGGATTAGGTTGGGTGCATGCCTTTGGCAACACAAATTGTAAACTGTAGATCCACTAGCCCTGCCTTACATATTGTTTCACTTCTAGATCTCTATATCCTCTTCGATAATAGTTTATTTATTTTTGTATTCATTGATTACCGTTCTCTTATGTTTTCACAATATTTATACTTTTTGTGTATTGGCAATTAATTTTAGCGCGTTAGAGCCATTAGTATATTTTTGACAGCTGCATAAAGTTGACGTGTTTGGAAAAATGAGGCATATGAAACAAAAAAAGAACGAATTTCTATATCTCACTAAACATTGTTCGTTAGGAAATAAAAAGGCAAAAGAAACAAAAGGACAATTGTATAAATATTATGGGACTAATACTCCCCTAGGGTACACTGGTAAATTTTAGTTTCGTGAATTTCGTAGCGACAGTATATTTACATTGGATGAACTGGACGGCCCTCAGATGCAATTACATATATTGGAAAATGTGAAGAAGGTTATCATGAAATGGTTTTAGCTGATCGTAAAGTCAAGTTGCGAAAATTGGCAAAGGCCACAAGAATTTACCACACAAAGCGCACTAGTCATAGTATTTTAAACTAAGTTTTGAATAAGTTTTTTTTATTTTTCTTTATTTAGCAGTCAGAAAGGTGCATTTATATGAGTTAAAGAGCTGTAGACTTTCATTTATATCACCTGTTATAACTTAACTTAGCTATATAGTTAGATAATTTAGGTTTACCGGATGGTTTAAACTAGTTTAATGCCTCTTTTGGATTGCTTTTTATACTGCCCGTACATGGAGGTCTCTACATGTACGGACAGTACATGTATCCAGTGTTTGGTTGGTTGCATACCAGGGTACATCTACAATCCATAGTAGTATCAAAGAATATCGACGTATATTCTTTGGTAGTATCTTGAATTGGCATCTTTGCACAATTGCAATGTTAGATTTCGAGGTACATCCCCACAGTTATAGACCTATGGGATTTATAGATATGAGGCTAATTACTGTTTTATAGATCACAATTTTACACCTCAAATACACGTGATTTTCGTCTTATCGACCACTGAATTTTCCTTGTCTTTATATCTGTTTACTCTGTTCTGAGATGTGGTATTTCCATGTACGTTATTTCTCCAAGTAGGTACAGTCTTAGATATTTTACTGTTTCGGTTTGTGGTACCAGTATATTGTTTATTACGATTGAAGGACATGTTTCGGTGTGAATTGTGAATGTCTTGTGTGCTGATTTGCTCTGTTTTACTTTAATTCTTTATTTTTAATCACTCTAGAAGACTGTCTAGGTAGTTTTTGTAAATTATGTAGCTATTTCTGGAATTTTTGTGACATGAAATAATTTCTGTAGTTTTAAATGAAAAAAATATCCTGGGTGTCTTATTTGCTTACTATGGATCAAAACATGATCGTGTGATCACCTCTCAGAAGTATGTGAATTTTATAAGCTCAATCTCTGTCGGATTTTTGGTGTCGATTGGTAACTGTTGATGAAACCTAGATCCTTCACTTTACAATGGAGAATAGAATAAACGCACTGGCACACAAAGGCATAATTAAATAGACATTCTTGAAAAAGGTAGAACTATGAACAGCTGATATAACTGTGCATTATTAGACAAATTTAAGCAGGAACTCAGTGAGAAACAATTTCTTATGTAGAAGAAAAAAGTGTGGTTTCTTTAAGACAATGCAACAGGCTCACAAGAGCGTTATAAAAATGTCAAATATTAATGACTTGGGCCTTGAATTACTTTCTCATCCACCTTATTTTCCTGATTTAGCTTCCTCTGTTTATTCTATACCCAAATCTAAAGAGATAGTTCGTAAATAAAAACTTAGCTTAAACAAATAGATAATTGACGAAATAAACGTTTATTTTGTAGACTTCTAGAATCGTATTATTCAGACGGCTTAAAGAAGTTGAAATATCGCTGGAATCGTTGAATTGAGCTAAAAGGAGACTATATCCAATAAAATAAAAGAATTGTCTAGAAAAACATGTTTTTTATTTCAACAAAGGTTACTTATCGGACTACCTACATGTATATAGGTCCACTGTACAAAAGGTCTTCCTCCTAGTACTGTCAATATATTATTTACGAAAGGAAAAGTTAAATCATTAAGAGATTAAATTAAGAATAGAGCTAGAATAGCGCACAGAAAACAAATCAAATAAGAACTTAGCAATATAACAAAAATATTTACATTTAAAAAATATATTTTACTATCTTTAAAAAAATATTTGAATGTTTTTTTTTATATTTAGTTGAGTATTTTAGTCAACATTTAAAGTATTTGGTTTGAAAATATTTACAGAAGTAAATATATTCAATGATATTAAGAAAATAAACTTAACTTGTTTTTAATTACTCGACTAGTCATAAATCTGATTCTTCTAATCAGACTTTTATACCTTTAAAACCTCTTATAATAAAAACGTTCAGTCAGTACTTAGTATCCTAATTTCTTCAAAGCTTTCAGGTCCACGTCTTTGTAGTAATCCTCGCTGAAAAAGTAATAAAACATATTAAGTACGTTTAGAAAAGGGAGATATTTTTTGTATGTGATATAAAAACTATTTATTAACAACGACAAATAAAGTGAACATTTTGTGACGTTTTTCTTTAGTTTTGCTCCCTGTAAAGTGCCTGTCGGTAAAGTTAACGGTCGGCAACAGGCGGACCGCGGTCCGAATCCGGACCGCGAAAGGTTGAACTGCGGACCGAACTTCGGAATATCGATTGCTGAGTCAATCAAGTTCAAAATAAAACTGCTGTTAATTTTCAAATAGGAACTCATAATAACAATTAGGTATAAGGTATAAGTGATGAAATATTGTTTTAAAATATTGTATGTTTACAATAACTGAAATATATAAATCTGGCGAATTCTGTTCAAAATCTGGCTTCTTTTAAAACACAATTTGGGGAAATCAAATTTATAGGACTGGCAATGCTGCTGCCCACTGACTGGCAGTCACTCACTAGTTTGTCAGTGACATGCACGTAGCGCACTACCCTGAATTTGTTTTGGGATTACTTGCGTTTTCGTTCGTTTTATAAAACATCTTTTTGTACCAACGTTTATATGGATCCGAAAAGAAGAAAAGTGGACAGTCAAAATAGAAAGTTTCTGGCAGAATGGACTGAACAATATTGTTTTACACTGCCTGATAGGCCGCAAGCGGTTCCGATGTCCCTTCTATGCAATAAAACTGTCGCTTTAGTTAAAAGTGAAAGAAACAATTCATCAGCAGTTCCACAAAAACTTATCTCTTGGCAGTCAGGCGCGTAAAAAAAAACTTCGAATATATCTTAACTCTTACGAAAAAAGCAAAAAAATTCTAGTTCGCTGCTTGAGCGATCAAGAAAAATCCATAGAGGCAGCGTTGCGTGTATGCTAAAAACTATTTTCTGATTCTGAGATAGCAAAGCAATGTATGCTGGCAGTAGCTAACTCACTTTTTGACGGAAAACAGATGAAGGACATTTTAGCTGCGGATATTAAAAACTCATTTCTTAATCTTTTGCAAAAGGCATGTCATACTACGTGCTATGTGCTTTTGCTACGCCATGTGATACGAATCATGTGACATTGTTGATGATGAACAAATGTCTGTTTTTGTAAGATTTCTTGAGTGTCAAATTTTTAGGGAAGAGTTGCTAGCAATATTGCCGCTGAAAGGTAACACTCGAGGAAAAGATTTATTCAAGGTTATTGATGAATTAATTTCTAAATCTAACATCAGTTATAATAAAATGATTTCGCTTTCTACTGATGGGGCCCCAGCAATGATTGGCAAAGTAAAAGGTGTAGTAAAGAGGATTAGGAATAAAAATTTAAATTTAATACTATATCAGTGCATAATACACCAGGCAGCCGTTTGCGGAAAACTTAGTGCTACGCTTAAAGAAACCATGGACAGTTTAATGAAGTTTTATGAGATCTGATTTTCTTTCTGAGTGTGATTCAGCATATCCTGACTTACTACACAATACTGCTCGTTGGTTAAATAAAGGTCAAGTTATTGAACGTTTCTGACTAATAAAAGAACATGTGATCTCTTTCTTACAAAATATAGAAACGCAGGGAGTCAGGACACATTTTGAGTATATAAAAAACAGGCGCAACATGCTGGTTGTAGCTTTTCTAAAAGCTATTTTAAAATTTTTGAATTCGCTTAACACATAGTTACAAGGAAATGGAAAATTTGTATGTGATCTGATCTGCGTCGTAAGCTGGATATCTTTGAAAATATATTGCACAACTATTCATGAATATAATAAAAAAGAGGAGTACTCCGAAGAAGACATTGCAGTGTTCATAAAATTTCTAAATATAATAAAAATAAGGAGTACTCGGAAGAAGACATTGCAGTGTTCGTAAAATTTCTGGGCGATTTTAGGAACGAATTTGCTTCAAGATTCCAAGACTTTGCACAGGTAAGCAAACTATCTTCATTTCTAAAATCACCATTTAAAGTTGACGAAGCGACAGAATGGACAGATGTGGCTGCTAAGCTGTTTAATCTGTAAAAAATTTTGTCAAAAAATCCCAAATAAAAAAGTGTGCGGTGTGGTGTAAGCAATGGCTGGCACAATTATCTTAGAATGGATGAACCGACGTATTTAAACCTTTTGTCTCTTGTATCCCCTAGGATTCAAAAACAGGATACGATCAAGAGAGAAGTCATAGCACCATATGAAAGATTTCTTGTAACTGAAAGGAGTTATGAAGACCTGTAGTATTCAACTATTAGTGAGTTCTTCGTCTTCAACTTTTTTCTTTTCTCTTCTATAATTAGTCAGGAATGAGTTTTCTTTGCAATAACTTCATCCTTGTCGGCATTATCGTCAACGAACGTATATTTTTCTTATAATATTTTAGTATTCTTAAATAAACTATTCCAATGATTTATGGTTAAACTCTTTGCGATCACTAGTCATGAGGAAAATTACTTAAATGCTATGTCATAAAGCAACACAACGGACGCCAACTTGTTCAATGTTGAAAATCTTGGGTACACACGTATCATTTTGCTTGCGCAAGCACGCTTAATTCAAGCATGCATAATTAAGATCCTTTCAATCCTCAAGCCGCTTGTACAATCACAAATCTTGCACCACATTTCTCTACAGACACTCAAGCGTGCTATAACAAAAAAATTGAACAAGCGTGCTGGACAAGCTTGCATAATATGTGTCTATAGCCGCCTTTACGTGTAAAATCATTGCTGGCAAGCATTAATACCACCTAAACCACTAAATATTTATTTCTTGTCAGATCATAAGCTGAGCTGCTGAGCAGTGTGCTGAGTTTAGTGTTTGGTGGTTCAGTTGTTCGTTGTTAAGTACGCGAGCAACCGTGGAAAGAATTTGTTGTGTCTTAGTTGTGCTGTTTTAACGTCACCGCAGATATATAATTGTACTACCTGCAATTTTTATTATGGATCCAGTCCAAGATAGAAAACTTTTGTCGGGTTAGATTAAATTGAAGCAGGGGAGAATGAAAATAAACCTGGTTTACAAGATGAGGAAGATAGTGATTTAGACCAGTGTGAAAATTTAGACCATAATACAGACACTGAATTGTCAGCAGATTTTGATGACAATGATGTGGCTTCTGTTTATCATAAAGGTGATTAAGTTTATCTTGCAAAAGATGGTATAACAAAATGGTTGTTCTTTCACAGCGAAAAACCAGTGGCACACGTAAGCGCAACATAGTTACTCGTCTACCAGGTGTAAAACAAATAACGAAAAATATGTTAATACCAATTGAATGCTGGAAATTGTTTTTCTCTGACGAAATAATAAACGAAATTGTACAATATACCAATACCTATTTAGTAAAAAGTGCGCAACCAGTTTTCTCGTGATAGGGATGCAGTGTGTACCAATAGTGATGAAATTCTCATGTAAACCTGGACGATCTTTGGGCTACAAAAGGAACAGCTCCTGTATGTTTTCGGACAGTTATCTCAAAGAAGCGATGCTTATATCCTTCTTCGTATCGCGTTCGAATTCCCCCTGTAGTTCTTGTATAGCTGTAGCTCTTGAATACAGTCAGCTAAGTGAATTCGTGGTAACAGAACGCTTTTTCACTGGTACGTAAGCATTTGGTTAATTTTATTATCATATGCGATAGGTTTATTATCCATTTATCCATGTGCCGCAAACAACCAATTGTAGCTTCAGTTAGTTTATCAGGTTCAATTAGGTTGAAGATTTGTACATATGTACATACATTTTTTGTGCCTCTTAAAGACAAACATAAAAAGGACGTACAAAAAGCGGCTATTTGCCATGCATTATAGGAGTTACGTAGAGTCATAATTGGACAAGGCGCTAAAAGCGATTACAGAAAGAAAAATGACATTTGCGCGAGCTTCAGAGGTATACAATAGTTCCGTAGCAACACTCTGTAATGAATGAAAATGCTGTTGAGTAGGGGTTTCTTCCTTACCAGATTTAATATTCGAATGTTGGTTAAGCAAGACCTTTTATAAGTCAGAATATAAAACGTTACCGAGCAGATCCTGACATTATCAATAATTATTTTGATAATTTATCAAACACTCTACAAGAAGTACCACCGTGTAATATCGCAAAACTATGACAAAACAAACCTGGCTGATGAACACGTAAAGTCAAAGTAGATGGCAAAAGAGTCACGAAATATATTAATAGAATATTGAATTCTAGTAAATTGAGCACATCAATAATGGTTGCGGTCACTGGATCAGGAAAAATGGTACCACCGTACATTGTTTATAGAGTACAACATCTGTACCCAACATGGATAGAAAATGGTCCCACTGATGCTGTTTGTAATCGTACCAAAAGTGGTTGGTTTGAAGATCCTGTATATGAAGACTGATTCAAGAAAGTTGCTTTACCATATATTCGAAGAAGCGAGAGTAAAAAAAAATAATAAGAGACAGTTTGCCCAGTCACTTTTCAATACGTGTAACACAACTATGCGAAGAAAACAACATCGAGTTTATTCTTCTACCACCAAATGCATCTGTTACAACCACTAGATGTAGCGTTCTTTGGTCCTTTCAAAAAGATAGCGTAAAATTTTGACAGAATGGTAACAACGAAATAGTGGCGTTCATCCGAAGTCAGAACTTCCAAAACTGGTAAAAAGACTTTTAGAATATATGGGAGTAAATGCTATCAACAATATTGTTCTGCGGAATAATTTTATGTGACACAAACAGTGTTTTAAATACACTTCCACAATTAACGATCATGTAGTGGAGCAAGAAATGAGTATGGCAGTTGATCGACGTCCACCGCATTTGTCAATTATATAAAAATGGAATAATTTACTATGGAATCACTAACAGGAGAATTTTACTGTCATCATGTCATGTGTTTGTCTTTTTAAAGACGAATTACATGATATGATTTTTTCTGACGGATATTCTCAAGTTAAAGTTGATTTCATGTAATCGAATGAACTATCTTATAAGTAAAGCCGTCCCAGGAGCGCAACTCA